TTTTGTTTAACTTTATCGGGATTTAAGGATAAAATTTATATCAACCACGTAGCTTAATTGTAATACATAGTCAACGATACAATGATAAGATATAAGTAATTTTATACATCTTTTAATTCTTTCGTATCTTTAGAAAAAATAAATAATGTTTCATTTTCTTTGCATCTAAAATATCCCATTCGGTACTTGACAGCCTTTTATTATTATGACAAATAAAAAAATAATTAAAAATTAATTATTTAAAATTTTATTATGTCATTGGTATCATATATATATAAGCTTGAACAGTATATATTAAATAGATTAAATATAATTCAAAACTCTTAGAAGAATACATATTTTTTATCCATTAAAAATTTTAATTTTCTATGTTGAAATATTGTAATGTTGATATGTTGGAATTTCTAATTCCCATTAATATTGAAAGAAAAATTAATCTTACTGTCAGCGTATTTAATTATTAAATGTATTTTTTATATTAATGAATTGTATCATTATCATTAATTAGCATTACTTATTAGTATGACTTTTGAAATTATGAATAATGTATTTTAGAACTTACTTTAAACTTTGTAACGTATACTACAAGTACTTAAAAATATATATTTTATGCGTATAAGAAAACAGCTAATATAAGAAATTAAATCTTCATTGGGGTTTCTCATGTATTTTTACTATAAATTGTATTTATTATAAACTGTAATTATATTTCCATTTTATCCGACTTGTCATATATCATCTAAAGTGTGAAAAAAGACTATTATTATTGCGTTACGAGTTCTAAAGATATATTAATTATTGTATACACAAACCAATATTTTTAATTTATGAGTAAGAGTTAATTGAAGAGAAAGAATAATGATAAATTTATTCTTATTTTATTTGAAATGTTATGCAGTTCATTTCTTAGTCACGATCGGAATCTGCAGTGTATAAGTCACGTGTATTTATACTAAACTATTTTTTTCTGGGTAGGTTCAACAATAATGCTAACTCGTTATTATATGAAAGAAAAATTAACTTTTACATACGCGCTGTAAGACTGTACTCTAGATTGCAAACTGTTTAATGCCAACAAATTGGCGTTACCCGTATAGTGCAGAATCATTTTAGAAAACGTAAAATTTATTACTATGACATAGTTGGACATTTGCTTACACCATGTTCCATATATCGCAACTGTTCGATTATAGACACACAATTTAATCTAATACGGACAATATAAGCATACATTGAATACGTACTACATTAGTTATCATATCTTAAATGTATCGGCATTATTTACTATACCTTAAATATATGAGAATAAAAGTTATTTTATTGTATACATATGTTTATTTTATTTACGAATTTTGTGTAGTTAATAAATTAACATATATATGTTACGTATGATATTGTCGACATTTATTTTACCGATTATCTGTCTTTAACATATAATCATACATTATATTAACGTGTTATCATGTTACTGTGTAATTATATTCCAGGTACACCTTCTTTTTCTCTCCGTCTCTCTCTGGTTATAGGTAAACATGCTGCTTTATTATTCTAATCACGCCTATTTATAGCCTTGTCTGTGTTTTCTTTTAATTTTACACTCTACAACACGAAGATTATTGATATTTGGGAAATTGCGTCGATGAAGAGGTCCAACGTTGTTCGGTGTAGCCTCCTGTTACGTATACTGAAGGTATACCGGACAGGAATACACTCAGGATACATTCAGTATACGTACAGGGGGTTTCACATTCCTCATCGGATACACGTCGTCTCACCAGTGGTTGCTTCTGCGAAGGATGCCCAAGGTTGATGAGAGATCGACGGCTGTCTTGCATTGCGTGTTAGTAGTCTAATGTTTCATTGTCCGGAACTGCTGGCACGATGCTGCTGACAACCTCGATCGTTAATATTTTTCTATAATTCAGGTAAAACTTCAGTTAATATCTGATCAAATTACGTAAGAAGATATCACAAAATAGTCCATAGTTACATTATTCTTACCACGGATAATTTAAAGTAAGGTCTAGCTGAATGTTAAGTGTAGACTGAGACGATATACTCCTTAATATGTGTCATTGGCTCATAATCAGGACGGAACACGAGAGACCCGGTGGTTAAATTCAATTGAAAATACTCCTTGAAATGCGTCCTAAGCATCAGCGGTCCGTGCGAGTTCTGCTTTCCATGCCTATATTTCAGCTTTGCCTGCGGACACACATAAATAACATATGAGTTAGTAACGAATATTGGAAGTTGACTGTTAAAGAATGTGGGTAACTCAAAGGTTTCACCTCAGCGGTTTGGGGACGATAGATCGGAGATTTATTTAATGCGTTTCTAAAAGAATTTCACGCGAAAGAAGAGGGGAGGACGGTGATTAATCGGCCATAAAACTTCATCGTTTACACGATAAAACCACGGTCACCGAAAGTCCATGAAACTTCGAAGCCCAACGTGCTGTGATGTCAGACTGGTTGCCTGCTATTTGGGCCACCGCAAGAATCTCCCATTGAAATGTAAGTATCCCGTGTGACAATCGATCAATATCTGTGCACTCGCAGTCCCAGTTGCTGTATATATGCTTACGCGCGAACTTCGCGACAACAATCTACAAGTATTTTTAAACTGAAACAAATATTGGGCAAAGTATACTGACCTGATATGATTTATTGCTGGACACCATTCCTCCTTAATGTCTCTCCAGCCAGATCACTCTTTAAGGCATCATCATCGCGAATGTTTCCCATTATTGTGATAGCCAACTGAAATCAACCGATATGTGAAACCTGACGTAGGATCTCTCTGATATATGTATAGAGCACCGCACACTAAAGGTTTTGGGGGATAATGCAGGCCGGGTTGTCAATCACAAAAGGCACTCCGATCCCGTCCCCAACGTACGAATGACAGCTCTGTCCGGTCTACATGCTGCGAGTGACGTTCACGGTGGATGTGTTCAGTTTGTTTCGTTCGCTGATTCGCCGAGTAGTGGCTTAGCGCAAACGAGAGAGCGCTCGATACATCGAAGAGAAAGGGAGACGAGTGGACCGTACGAGACAAAAACGGAGGAGGAAGAGAGCAAGAGACGAATAGGATAGGCGAGAGTACATGGTCGGGGAAGAAAAATTAAGAAAGGGAAGAAGCAAAAAGAGACTATTAGACGTGAGCCGCTTGTGCCTCAGATGATCAGAAGAGCCAAGGTGCAGCTGAAGAGAGAGGCGTCTTTAGTCTGCAGATGATCGCGGAGCGTCTTGCGGACGACTGTGGACGTCGCGGCGCTCCGATATTGCACGTCACTCGCGAGAATCCGATCTCTTCGTCTCTTCGTGGCCGGTAGTTGAACCGTGCTCCTGTAGTCCCAAGATCGCGCTACGAGCCACGGAGAAACGGCTTCTTCTGGCGGCGGTTGGCCGACGATGCCGGGCCGACCCCGCGACGCCGACGCCATGCGGCGTCGCTCTGCGCCTAGCTGCGTCTAGGTACGAGCCACGTCAACGTTGTGTGGGTTTTCACCACCGCACACACGAATGCATGTACTCTTTGGATGCATGGGGGGTATATAAAGTCGGGGTGGTTATAGGGGCAACCGGGAGGGGCGGCTCTTGATAACGCGCAGGGTCGACCAACCCCTCTCAATCTGTCTCTCTTCCCTTTTCTGACTCAGCCTGTCTCTCTCTCTCTCTCTCTCCGTTAAATTTCCCCTCTTTGTCTTTCTCGTTGCACCCGAGAACTCCTCTTTCTCCCTCCATGTTTGGTCTGTCTGTTTCTCTCTTTCTGTATATCTCGTTCTTCTTCTTTCTCTCTTCCTCTCATATTTATTGTCTTTGTTCCTCCACTGTTTCCTCTCTCGATAGTTCTATCTTCTTCATTCTTATCAGGGTCGACCTTTCTCTGTCTCTTGTTCACCTATTCTGTCTACCTCTCGCGTTCTCTTCATCTATCCTACTGAGTATACCTATCTTTCTCTCGCAAGTTCCCTACCCCTTTCTCTCTCCCTCTCTCGCTGTCTCTTTCCTTCTCTCTCCATCCCCCTCTTTTTCCCTTCCCCTCACTCACTCTCTCTTTCTCTCTCTCTGCCCCTATTCGCCTATTCTCTCTCTTTCTGTCTTTCGATCTCACCATATAGCGTCCTCTCTGTTTTTCGTGAAGCTTAGTTCTGCTGCTGTCGCCCTTCCTTCGTTGTGAGCCAGCGTCGATTTGATTTCGCCGCGTCTCTGTGTGCGATATATCGTCTTGCTCCATGGTCTCCCCACTACTCGATGAGCGTGTGTGAGTATGAGCGTGAGCTTCATGCTACCCTCCTGGGTCAAGCATGGTGTAGCCTGGCGCCACCAGGCGGTGTACATATAGAAACTCTTCGCCCCTGAATCGTGACGTTTTTATTGGGCAACGTTCTGTTTCGTAAAAGAAAGAAACAGAGAGGCGATAAACGTAGTGCGATCTTCTTCCTGTACTTTAGTCTCATCTTCTGTGTTTTTGCGTTTTTTCCTTGTTCCCTCGTGGGTACCATTTGGGCCTACTCTTTGTTCACTGTGCAAGTAAGGTTATGACCTTATGAGTTTCCTATAAAACATGGTGGTGGCGAGAATTATTATTTCGACGAGTAATTTTGCCCAGTATTGTAAATTCCTGAGAATGGACTGCTTACGCCGAACAGAATCTGCAGACATATAAAGCGCAGTAAGTCAAGATTTTTGTGGTAGAGAGAGCAGCTATTATTAATAATAAATATGTGTATGTCTCTCAAATTAAATTTAAAAAATATAATGTAACCGTTATAATGCGTAATCGTACATTAGCTTGACATAAAGCTTGACAGTAACGAAAAGGAAAGATAAATACAAATACAAAGACAAAAGAAAATATGTTTTTTAAAAATAAAATGTACTTCTATAACTAAACAACAAGAATAGCAGTAAGAACAATAATAATGAGGTCACTAAGCAGGCCCATTTAAGAACATAATGATAATAATAACGATAATAATAGTTTTATTATACTAGTATACAATATAAAGAAAAATACGTATTATGTATTGAACACCACATAGTATAGGAGACAAGAGACGAGAGGCGACGGCAACACTGCTGCTATAACTGCTTAACCTGTAAGAAGTACAATAATAAAGAGATATATATGTATATAGAAATAACAAGTGACAGGCATTGTAGCTAGCAGTAAATTATCGAAAATGTAGAACAAAAGTTAGAGCAAAAGAATCTGTAAAATTAGAGTTTACAAAGTGTCTGCTACAAATTTTATTAGTAACATGCAAGCTCTGTTGGTTTACTATCACTAGTCTGTTGTCAGACCATGTTGAACATAAGGTTAATGTGAAAATACAATTAATGTCGGATTTGCTACAGTTTTGAGCGGATCTGATACTAAACTCTCTATCAATATATTGCTAATACTTTGCTCACGATGTATTTTTAGCTTTAACGTTTTATAGCTAAAGATTTATTGTTAAAATTTGCAGAAAATGATAATTCTGTTATAAGTTAAGTTGATCGAAAATATAAAAATATAATACAAATTCGAAATTTCTATGCAACTATTGAATTTTATTTATAAAATTAGCTTCAAAATCTATTAAATTTTGTCCTAAGAAAATTTATATGGATTTTAGCAATTCCAAGTATTGAATTTCATATACAACATCTTGCTAGGTGCTGCCATCTCTACGACAGAGTCCAAAATATTTATTTACAGATCTTGGATACCGTACACATACATGCGTTTACCTTGACATATACTGAATCAGTAGTAAGCAAATTAGTGAGAAAAAATTCAACCTTCATTCAAAGAAACTAAAGTTGATATTTATATTCAATAATTATTTGACGAATAATTATAATTTCATGAATCTCTAATATTCTTTAGAAGAAATCATATATAATCTTGAGACTTGGATTTCCATTCATGAGACACTAATTTATTACTTGTTATATATCTTTTTGATTTCAGATTGATTAATGATAGATTCAATCATTATTTATTAAAAAGACAAATTTTACATATGTGGAGACGTAGAACAGGTCATTGACATCTTCATTAAGTGGCGTATTTGTGTAATTGAAAATCTTAATTCTATTTAAAATATTTGAAATCGTATATTATGATATTTCGTTCATGTCGTCCAGTATCACCCAGTATTACAATGTAACAAATTATTTATTTCAATGATGCAGACAACAACAAGAAGAATCATTAAACATGGAATACGAATATGCACCATAAATGATCTTATCACGTAAAAAAAGTAGTAAGAGCAATCAAAACTTGATATACTGAAACAATCGAAAATATTTTGTATTATTTTACTCTGTCTAAGACCGAGATCAATTATTTTAGGAACGGTGTCTTCTATCATGTTTTATGAATCGAGAATCTGTCAAGTTTAGGATATCATATAAAGGCATTTAAAACATAATGATTTATTTAAAACAAGAAAATCATTCCGAGTATATTAACCTTTTCTAATTTCACCATTTTACCGAGTTCGTGCTTTTGCCTGATGCCTACGCCAATGCATACCTCGCGACTGAGATCCTAATATATGCAAAGGAATTCCGTGGTATCTAGTTAAGCGATACCGCATAAAGAAGCGCGGTTGTAGGACGCCACCATGAAAATCCGAACTTAATCGTTCGGATCTCGTGAAAAAAGAAACGAGAGCGAGGCCACCGGCAGAAAACTCGATCCTCCGTCGAGGTTTCAACGAAGAGCCGACTTATGCCTACGGGAGTCGATGTAGTCATAAGCAACGTGGGTACACTAAAATCGCTGGCAATAACTTCGCACGCATCTCTCGGTGAACCGTCGTAAAGTCGAAGAGCGAGCGAGAGGTTATTCGAAGACACCGAGGCGCGAGCAGGACGGGATAAAGGCTGTGCTAGGATAATGGACAATGGGATGTATACCAACGGGTTTGATAATTATAATAATGACCACCATGCGGTGCTCGTAAGCAAACCGGTCGAAAGAACGTTCAGTGGAAAAGAGCAGTTAGCCCACAAAGCATACACGTTTACTTATTATCCGTAGCTTTCCTTTCAGCCGCGCGTAAGGCTGCGCAAGAGGCATTATTATGTAATTACGGTGCAATTTTTGCCATGTTTCGCGCGGATACAGATCTGTCCTCTTTTCCATACGGCAACGACGAAGCCGCTAATAAAGGCGCCGCATGGCGTTATAAGGTTATTTTATTTGCGTTCAGGTATAAACACAAAACGCAGGTGTAGACCATAAATAATGAATATTAAAAAAGAAGAGTCCCTGGACTCATGTTTATGTGACTTCTTTCATCCTCAAGATGAGGTAGAACGTATTCCTAAAGTTTCAAGAAAAAGAATTCCAGTAGAAATACCTAATTTCTACTGGGATATCGTTGATTCACAGGAAGAGTATCATCACAAATCACATTTCTTTTGAGAGTTAGGACACTCGGTATTCTTGACTTGATTCAAATCTTGTAGAGAATAATGTCCCTTGTTACGCAATTGGTCCCTTTCAGAATATCAATAGCGCTATCGAATAGGATAGCGATCTGATAGTTCTATGGAACATAAGAACCGAACGAATCAATCACTCCTATAACTCATCTGAACGCCGTCGGGTCGTAACCGAAGAGAGGAAGACAATGCAGGGTTAGCTGGACAGAGCCGGTATTGCTCCGGCTCGAAAGGGGCGAGCCTGCCTGAGGCAGGCTAGAGGTAGCCTGGCAGGCAAGTTCGTACAGATGCGCGGCGGCCATCATGAATGCCTGTAAAATATGTATTCTCGTGCGGCCCGGTTGGTAAAAGAACAGAAGGGGAAGGGATGGCAGTGTAGCAGATGAGAAAGAGCTGGTAGGGCGAGGCGAGGAGAGGTTCAAGCGTTTGGGATAGGAGAGGGGAAGAAAAACCGTCGGAAAAGAGAGTTGGGGTGGGAGGGTGGTGGGGTGGAACAGCGAACGTATCCAGCTTTGGATGAACGGAAGGAAGGAGAAGGGTGTCGAAAGAGGGAGAAGTACAAGGTGAGCGAGCAAAGAAAGAGAAGGAGAGCGTGAAAAAGAGAGAAAGGGACGAGCGACCAGTGTGGATGCATCGCGTTTTCATTTCACGGCGGAATAGAGGCAAAAAAGGCGAGGAGGTATCGAGGATACGCTATGTGGAATAGAGATGACCGGGCGCATTATAATGTTCCCTCATATCGCAGTACACGCGTACGTCTACGGCGAAAGTATGGCTGCACTTATTGCTGGGAAATGCATGGCACTGCTGACTCGCGGTACAACTTGACATCGCTTGATGTTAGTAAAAAGTACATAACGCCGTTGGTGATCCCCTCTATTATGCTAATTGGATATTTTTATGATATTACGTATACACTGTGAATCCAAAGTTACTTGCCCGAGATCAATCGCGATCAAATGAAATATTCTGATAAATTTCGAATTCTGAACTAGTAGCAGTAGATACAACAGTTTATATGTCTTCCTCACTATATGAAGTTGAAGATATTATTATATCCAATCACATGTCCTGTATCTCACTATGATCGATACTTCTCTTACCAAGAGAAAGCTTACTCAAAAGAAACCGAGAGTAGTGTGTATCGCCACACACACATAAGTGCACGCGAGTGTGCCGTGATCGTATGACGCCACCTGTAGCAAACATTTTTTTCTGATTTAAACGATGAGGGAGAGACTTTTTCGAGAGAAGACGATGCACTCATGCGTGAATTTTGAGAAGGTGGGAGCAAGACGGGAGGGGAGAGAAAGAGAAGACGAGAAAGCACCGGGTGGCAAAAAATATGTAGAAAAATAAAAATATCCGTCGGGCGACGTACCAAGCGACGTACCGACGTGCGCGAGGCCGCCTCGGTGTAACATGTTCTATGATTTTACAGCTTCGTAATGCTGGCGTCGCCGCAACGATATTTACGGTTGCCTGTGCGGGATTATAATATCTTATTTCTGCGCTACGCCCCGGACACGTATCCGGTTTTCCTAGAGTGCATGCGTGGGCCAGAGCGCAAGGCATTTTCAAACTATGCGCGATTATTCTGTCCGCCGGGTCGCATTCGTAAGCACGTGTGCAACGCTTCAAAGGAATTGTTGAACGAGCATGATGCTCATTTGTGGGACGTATTAATTTAACGTATTATTGCTATCTTCCTTATTATCTTACTTCGCCGAGATAATCCGTTAGTATCATCGAATTTGAAAGGGGGATTCGTAGCAGCGGGAGTAAAGGAAGAGCGATGAGGGAGAGATATTTTGTGGGGAGTTAAGACAGGATATTTGAGAATCGCGCGAAACGATCTAGGGTCGTCATTCGCTCGCAAACTTAGATACTTGCATACCAGAATCTCAGGCCGATATTCATAGTCTGTCAATTCGAGATTTACAAATCTCTGATTATTCGTTCAAAACGAAAAGTAAAATCAGTTTTATAAAAATCAATAAGAGATGAGTACTTAGATTCTTTTTCAATTTTTGATTCTGGATAATCCCCGGTTTATACCTAAAACTTTACTATAAATACCGAGCTTAAGAATGATGATCTTGGATTAGATTGTTATTTACAGTTTGCACGAATCATAGACATGTAGAAATTATGATATATAATGCAACGCTTGAATATTTGTTTATAAATCTTTGTAGCCAGCCTTTACTCAACTCATAGCTATGTAATTTGGCACGACATACAGTAATTGTTAAAACGTTGTGATGAGTAGAAAACGAATATGCAGGAAATTGTTGCCGTCGGGATGAAGCTCTCTCAGAAGGCTGGCGAAGGAGTATGGCTATCGAATAGTATCTTTCAGAGTTTTCAAAGTTTGGTACAAATGTATTCGTCCGACGAATACATACGCCAATGTTACCACTCGCGTCACTCAGCGGGTAGTCGCGCCAACATAAATCTAGTCACGCGGGCGGTTCAACAGTAAAATAATGTCGAGCGCGAGTAACTAATCTGAAAGAATTTAAGAAAATGATGACATACGTGGAAGGTATGTTTACAGCTGAAAATATTTCACGAATAAATTAATACAGATGGGTAGACGCAGGTAATTAGCGAAACAATAAAGAACGAATGATACGAGAGATGCTATT